ACACATTTCTCAACATCTCATGTATTTCACATAGCTTTTAATATACAGTGCTCAGCATATACAAATACACCCCTCACAAAACTCTCTTTTAAATTTATATTTTAATAGGAAGCTATACAATACTATATTTGTGCATATATATTAAATTAGTACTTAAGCCAAATATTGATCTTACGATAATGGTCCAAAAACTAGTACACTCAAATTTATGTTACAGAAAAATCATTCATTCATTTTATTTTTAGCTTAGTCACTTTATTAATCAGGGCTCGCCACAGTGGAATGAACTGCCAACTCATACAGTATATGTTTTTATGCAACGGATACCCTTATATCTGCAACTCAACACTGGGAAAGTTATAGAAAAATATGAAATACAAATTAAAAAAAAGAAGAAAAATCAAGAGAAGCAAAAAATTGAAAAAACTAGTTGAAATTTTGTAGGATGTAATTTTTTTTGCAATATTTAGCTTGAATTTAATTGTATTATCTTTTAATTTCTAACTATGTTTGGAGACTAAAATGTAATTTAATAAATACTAAATTATCTGTTTAAAAAATCAGTTTTGTTTAAATGCACCAAAATACACTGCCTACATTCCCTGAGAAATGGATAAAATTATTCATTTTCAAAATGGGGTGTACTTAATTATGCTGAGCACTGTATATCATACAGTCTTTGTACTATATTTTAGGGGATAATTTACTCAAAAAACGAATTCTGTCATGATTTGCTCATGCCTTTCAAAGCCTGAATGACCTTCTGCATTCTGTAGATGAAAGGTTATTTGAGTCCTGAATCCTAATCGTGGCTCTTAACAACACTGAACCTCATTGATTTTTATTTTATACCAAAAATCATTAGAATATTACATAAATATAAGGGATGTAACGGTATCAGAATTTCACAGCCGGTAATACCTCGGTATGAATGTCACGGTACGGTATTTATTGAATCATTTACAGGAAAAAACAAAACTTATGAAAATACTCCAAAAAAGTGCCAAAAGTGTCAATGACATACAAATTAGGCATCTATCTGTAAGCTTTGAAACAGGAACTTCACTTTTAATAACAAAAAATTATTAAACCATGTAAAAAAATAAAGTTTCAATTTAGTACTGTTGAAAACTCATCACATTCAACATTTAATCACTCACTCACTTAGATAGAGATGGGTTTAAAGGAAAATTATCATATAAATATAATCTGGTAAAAGCTGGTATCTCTGGGCATTTACAATGTCCCCTGCAACAGAAAAAACCCCTCTCATTTGGGACTGAGGTTTCTGGGACAGAGAGATATGACTTGGCCCAGGTTGACAGCAGTGGGTAACGTTGTGCATTGTCTTTCCCCCACTTGAGAGGACAAGCCATGAGTGAGATAGAGGTCTCATGTCTGTATCAATCTGAACAGTGTGCTGTGTCACACCCTCCGTCCCGCCCTTCAGTAGGCACGCGACAACACCGCTCTTGAGTATGCGTGCTCAACCCCCCCCTCCCCGCTTTACAGTACGCGCGACAACACAGCTGATCAGAACGCGCGCAACAACACCGCTATTCAGTACGCGCGCGACAACACAGCTGATCAGAACGCGTGCGGCGACAACACCCGCTTCAGGTTCGATCATTTCCAGCTCTTTTTGATGCCCGCTTCTAGCAGCACACTCCATTTCCGCATTACTGTATCTGTAGCGACAACAGACCGCAAGGGATTATGGCCACCCCTGGGCTGATGGGAATTGTAGTTTTTACTACCTCCCGTTCGCTTCATTCGCCTGAGCAAATTTTCTCAGAAGATCTATAGTTTTACCGAGTCATGCGACTACGGTAATATCGAAAAAAATTTACAATACCGTTACATCCCTAATAAATATCATGTTCCAGGAAGGTATATTGTACAATCTCCTATTGTAGATGAATCAAAACTTTGATAGAAAGACAACTTTAAAGGTAATTTAATATTGATATTTAGATTTTTTATTTTTTTACTACACACAAACAAAAAAGATTGGTCCTAATTTACTCAACCTCACCTTACACCAGGGGAGCTCAATCCTGTTCTTGGAGATCTACCTTCCTGCCTGAGTTAAGCTGCAACCTGATCAAACACACCTGTCTGTAATTAACAAATGCGCCTTCAGATTGGACTTATGCCGCAGCCACATTAGAGTTTGTGTGTGCAAAATTCTGTTGTACGCCAATGTGAAAAGGGGTGGGATTAAACAAGATGATGAGACATTAAAAAAGCGAGTAATTGGTCCATATATTAAATATCTGTCCAGAGAGGTCATGTTTTGATCTCACACAATCACAATACAATTTCGCAGGTCAGAGTTCACCATGCTTGAACTTTCCAACGCAATGAACTGCGAAACTTGTTGCACGAGCTTGTGTTTGTGGCCTGCTGCATTCACATGCATATGAATGTAAGTCTATGAAGAGAAAAGTGCAGTGTGACTGCACCTTTAGTTGGTTAAGTTCTGTTTGATCAGGGTTGGAGCTGAAATTGGCAGGAACGCAGATCTCCAGGAAAAGGATTGGGCACCCCTAGGGCTACACCATGGGACTCAAACTCAATTTCTGGAGGGCCGCAGCTCTACACAGTTTTGCTCCAACTCTAATTAAACACAGCTCCAACTAATCAAGATGTTCAAGAGTACTAGAGACTATTAAGACTATGAGTTGGAGGTAGTTGGAGTTAAAATCTGCTGTGGCCCTCTAGGAATCGAGTTTGAGACCACTTACTCTTGCTGTGTCCCAATTAGCATACTATCCATCCTAAATAGTATTTAAAATTAGAATTAGTGTGTCCCAAACCATGGCAAGTTGAAAAGAGTATGCCAAAGGTTCTGGGATGGTTTACTATTTCTGGGAAAAATTTGAAGTGTAGAAGTGTCCATACAACTAATTCCCTTTCCGTAAGAAATCCTTCATTGTAAATTTTTTTTTTTTCTAAAATGTAAATTTGTTTTGTCCTTGATAAAATCATTTTTCCTGTGTAATTGTGACTTATGATAGGTAAAAATGTTTTTCAAAATTTAAATTTATCTCGAACTGTTTCACACTTTTGAATGTTGTTTTGCACTTCCCGGCCACCATATTAAAGAGATGTCCTCATCATAAGATGTCCTCATCATTTACTCACATTCAAGTGATTCTAAAAGAATGATCTTGAAGAATAAAGCATCCTCAAAACTCAAAGAAACTCTAACAGGTGTTAAACTAATGGAGGGAAAGTAAATAATATCCTTTAATTAAAGAGGGTCAACTATTTTTTTTTCCTGAAATTGTGGTCTCATTCATCATATATATACTGTATACAGTATATAATCATTCATAAATCTTAGTTATTAATTTAGTCATCCATTTATTTGAATTATTCATTCATTTATTTGATTGCTTTATTTTATATATTCCTTATTATTTGTTCTGCTTTTAGTACTTTTTCCATTGTTTAGTCCTAGACTTACAGTAATGGCGTTTCATGAAATGTTCCTCTCCACTGATATGAGGATATGTCTCTAATTTAAGGTCTTGTGGCCTGATATATAATCACATTTGTTTTATTTGTGCTGTTCATACAATGTATGAGAGCGCACTGAAAGACTAAGATAGAAAAAGCTACGATTCTTTAATAAACCCTGCTTGTTTATTATCATCACTACATCTCTTGCTTATGTTCTTCTCTGGCTTCCTTCCACAGTCAACTCATATATTGATAGTAGGCTGTGAATTCAGTTGAATACTGATTAACAGGTTTGGGTATTGGACACTGCTGACCTGTTGTCCAAATACCTGGAGAAACTGAAATTTCCTGACAAGATCTGGCATCAGGGGCTTAATTTTATTTGTCTGGCGTGGAGACTGTTATCTAACAATGAAAATGTAAATAATGTACAGTTTCTTGAGCAGACCAACTACTTTTACCTCATAAGACCCCAATACATCAACATTAGCAATGGATATTAATTTTATTTTGCCAGCATGAGTATTTTTTCACATTTAAGGCATCATTAGATGCTGAGTTGCATCTAATGAATCACCATGTTTTCAGCTTAAAGTTCTCTTTTAAAAAGTCACCTACATCCAGTGCTTTATTTGCAAATGAATAATACCCGGAACAAAACCAGGAAATTAAAGTAACCGTGACCGACGTCCACCAATCAGTTTCAGTTTACCCAGAGCTTGACATCATTAAACGATAATAGCACAAAAAAAGAGCATCACATTTCTGAACGGTCTTTAATTATTTTGTGCCATTTAACATTAAAGGTCAGTCATGGATAATAAAAACATGTAGCTACAAACATAAATCGTATGAACAATCATTATTCAGTTCATTTCACGTTATGTGCCAAAGAAATAATTAAATGACACACAGTCTAATCTTTAAGAAGAGCCCACAGTTACCTCTTCTGTCATGTTTTCTGGCTGACTTGAGATTGCTTTGTTTCTGTCTCCTGCTATCCTGATCCATTCACGCAGTTTCATCTTCTTGAGATCTCTTTTGATCAGGCTCATTATTAGATTTACTCTTAGTTTAAAAAAATTAATACATGCGTGATTGCCTTTTTGCCATTTTGAAAATAAAAATATTATTTAGGTTGGCCACTATGCCATGATTTTTTTTGGCTGCTCACGACACAATCACCAACCGATGAGAGTGATTGTAAATATAAGGAAGCCGATTGGCTATAAATATTGTTGATGGCCATTAATAACGTGACTTTTGCTTTAACTTGCGCATGGTGACTACCATCATATTTGTGACATTTTCCAGAACAGGATACATCAAGATCTGGCTCAAATTAAGCACTGTCTACATCTTGCATGGTCTAAAGATCAGTACATTAACAGCAAATTTACACTGTAACTGAATTTCACTTTAGTCTTGCATTTAAATTCTAGTCTGAAATTCTTATCATCACTCATTAGCAGTATCTGCACATCTGCTACAAAAGTCTGTTGACCGTCCTCAAATCTCAGAGGTGAACTGACCTCAGTGGGCTCCAGGTTTTCTCCATTCTTCATCCACCTGTACGAGGGTTTTGGTTTCCCCGTGGCCTTGCATTCCCACACCAGAGAGTCATCGATGGGCTTCTGCACATCCTGCGGCTTCTCAATTAACTGAGGCGAGGCTGAAACAACCAACAGCAGAGGTAATAATGACTACACAGAATTACTTTAACCTTGATTATGACCTGTTACGTGTCCTTCAAAAGCAGACTAGCAGTACATTCTGGAGCCATGAACTGTGGGGAATGGTGTGATGTAATCACAATAATGACACATAAGAAAACAACATTATTAGTGAAGGCGAAGCAGACGCAGGCCAACTGATTCACATTTCCTCTTAGATGGGTGAACGGGAAGAAAATCACATCTAATATATTGGTATTGTCTAAAAGCTACTGCCATAAAATACTTCAACCAGTTCCATTATGGTAAATTATGGCTTAATTATAAACAAGCTCTATTGATCTTTATCTTTTAAATGCATGTAACTCAAACCTAGTAAATTATTGACCAACAATGCATTCAGAGAATCATTTATAGGTGTTTCTTTTCCTGAAAAGAAAGAAAAAAGATGGACAAGAAGAGGTAAAATTATATTAAGCTAACAATTATTCATTCATTCCTTCATTTTCTTTTCGGCTTAGTCCATTAATCTGGGGTCGCCACAGCGAAATGAACCGCTAACTTATCCAGCAAATCTTTTTACGCAGCGGATGCCCTTACACATCCATACACACTCATAAACTACGGACAGTTTAGCTTACCCAATTCACCTATACTGCATGTCTTTGGACTGTGGGGGAAACCGAAGCACCCGGAGGAAACCCACGCGAAAGCAGGGAGAACATGCAAACTCCACACAGATACACCAGCTGACCCGGCCGAGGCTAGAACCAGCAACCTTCTTGCTGTGAGGCGACAGCACTACCTACTGCGCCACTGCGCCACCCAAGCTAACAATTAACAATGTAAAAAATGCTTTAATGCATCAATGACTGCCAAATGTTCCAGCAACACTGTTTCTTTAACTATGTTCTTTAACTATGGTCTTTATTAAAATGTTGTAAGCCAAGAATTCAATTAAATTTAAGCTTATTTGTATAGCACTTTTCAAAACTGCTTTACAGAAGGCACACATTATTGCATTACAATTAAGTTCGGAAAAGTTATGTTTATTAGTTACCATAAATTTATTAGTTACTAATAACAAACCAACAATCTGAGTAAAAATTTGCAATATATTTAAACTTCGATTAAAGTTCATTAAAAATCAAAGCTGACAAAAAGACAATGGTGGCAAAAAAAATGCTTTTAAAACAGATATTTTTAAATCCTTTATTACTTCATGGCTTAAATAATTAAAAGTTTAAAATATAGATATAATATTAATAGAAAATATAGCACACCGACACAATAAAACAATACAATAAAAAATAAAAATGCGAAATATATATATTTTTTTTGGTGTGATTTTTTTACTGTTACTCTGATTGGTGGATTTTTTGCATAGCATCATGGGTAATGCAGTTTTTCTGTACTAACCTCACTATTAAACTGCTAGTTTTAAATTAGTTTAATTAATGTGAACAGAATGGTTCAACAAAAAGTATATATTCGGTTAACACCTTCAGCACTGACACAGTAGGTTTGTTTTTCCAGAGGCTTATTATCTAACGGTAAAAAATTATATATTTTTTTTCTGTAACTGATTTTATTTGGTAATGCAGCTACTGTGCTTTTACATTCTGAAAACTTCATAAATAATTCATTCTTTTGAGTCTAATTTTTGCAGTGAATCATTTGATTTGGTTCACAGTAATGGAAAAAGGTAAACAAAGATAATAATAAACAATTTTATTCATTCATTAATTTTCTTTTTGGCTTAGTCCCTTTATTAGTCTGGGGTCGCCACAGCGGAATGAACCACCAAATTATCCAGCATAAGTTTTATGCAGCAGATGGCCTTCCAGCCACAACCCAACACTGGGAAACAGCCACAGACTCATGCATTCACTCATACACACTCTGGCCAATTTAGCTTATTCAATTCACTTATACCGCATGTCTTTGGACTGTAGGAGAAACCGAAGCACCCAGAGGAAACCCAGACCAACACGGAGAGAACATGCAAACTTCAAACAGAACTGCCATTTGACCCAGCCAAGGCTCAAACCAGCTGCCTTCTTTCTGTGTGGCGATCGTGCTACCCACTGCTCCACCATGACGGCCTAATAGATATTTGTAATCCTTTATGACTTCATGGCTTAAACTATTTAAAACCAATAGAAACTGTAACGCACCAACATAAAAAAACAAAAAATCAAATAAAACATAAAAATGGCAAAATTTTATGCTTTCTTTTGTTGTGCCTAGTATATCTACCCGATTAACAACTTCACCACTGACACAGTAGGTTATTTCCAAAGGCTTATCACTTATACAATTTTCCATAACTGAATTTTTTTGGTAATAGAACTATTGCGCTTAGTTTACATTCTGGAAAATTTATAAATGAATCATTCTTTCAAATCAAATCTTTGCAGTGAATCATTTGATTCGGTTCACAAAAATGATTCAGTAATGGAAAAAGGTAAACAAAGATAAACAATGAACAACTTGATATTCATTCATTTTCCTTAGGCCCTTTATTCATCAGGGGTTGCCACAGTGTAATGAATCGCCAACTTATCTAGCATTTGTTTTACCCAGCTGCAACCCAGTACTGGGAAATACTCATACACACTTATCCACACACATACACTACAGCCAAATTAGTTCTTCCATTTTACCTATAGCATATGTGTTTGGACTGTGGGGGAAACCAGCGCACCGGGAGGAAAACCATGCCAACATGGGGAGAACATGCAAACTCCACACAGAATGCTATTATCCAGCCGGGACTCGAACCAGTGACCTTCTTGCTATGAGGTGGCAGTGCTATCAAACAAGCCACTGTTTCATCTATAACTTTCTTCATTTTTATGAATTATCAGAATTTTTGAAGTCTAAAACATCATATGGACACTAACTGTATTGAATCAAGCAACAACAATTCTTTAAATTCCTTGAGCTTAAGAAGAAAGTCAACCAGCTTTGGAACGTGATACTGTAACTTTTAATTAAGTCTATTTTTCTGCAAACCGGTCACATTTCCAGCACTGAGGAGCAAAATACAGCTTGGAAGCTTTATTCAGTGGCAGTCAGTCTACAGTATCTGGCAGTCACTGGATGAGTATTGACTTTTAAAGCCCACTGTTTAAATGAGAGTAAGCAGTCAGGGCCTGACTTAGCCTTGCCCACGGGGCACACAATCACGCTCAACACTTCACGCCCACAAGTCAAACTTGAGAGGAACAAGAGGTAGAGAGGTCAAAATGAGCTCTCAGCATCCTTAACACCAACCGAAAGCTTGTTCAGTAGCATACTATGATTATGATAGATAGACACTTCCACTAGCCATACTGTAGCAATCGTACTGTATCATGTAAGAAGCATTTTGTGAAACTTAATCCAAACCCTGGCCAAATGCCACAATCAGACCAGTCATTATGTCTCTAGGTTAACGTGTCAATAACTTAAATATTCTAGTTCAAGAAAGTTTTTGGTTATTTTTTTTTTACTTGACCTTCCATATTCAAGATGTAAAATAAAATAAAATAAAAGAAAATTAAATAAAATTTAAATAAAATTAAAATAAAATAAAATAAAATGAAATAAAATAAAAATAAAAATAAAATTAAATTAAATAAAATTAAAACTAATTAAATTTAATGTAATTTAATTAAAAATAAATAACATAAAATAAAATAAAATAAAATAAAATAAAATTAAATTAAAATTAAATTAAATTAAATTAAATTAAATTAAATTAAATTAAATTAAAATAAATAAAATCAAATAAAAAAAAACCAGCCATTTAATAATAAATATCGAGAGTCCTTTTACACACAAAACATAATTTAAACCCCCTTTTCATATTTGTGCCTAGATACTAAAACTAAATACTTAATATTCATAAGTGATTGTAAAAGTTCTTTGTGGTTGCTTTCAAAAGTTACACTGTAAAGCTTTTATTTTGCTTTAAAACTGCTTGTTAACAACAGATCTCTAAACCATTCTCATTACAAACTAGGTGAAATGTTTTGCTGTATGTTGTGTTTTTCAAATGCAGAATCACTAAAGCATGCAGCACACCAGACTGCATTTATATAATTGCAAGCTCCTTCTCTAAAATAAAATAATAAAATAAAATAAAATAAAATAAAATAAAATAAAATAAAATAAAATAAAATAAAATTAAATTAAATTAAAATAACAATATTATATAACATATTTTAATTAATAATAATAAAAAAGGATTTGGTGCATTCAGAGACTGGCCAGTGTGATAATGTTAAGCCCTGTGTTCTCCGGTGTGTGTCGATGTACAAAAGCAATACAAAGAACTAATGAAGGCAACAAAAAACATTTGTGGCCAATTGCTAATCAAGCAGAAATAAAGAAAGCAAGGCTTGTAGTATCTCTCCTGCTGCTGGAAGTGATAAACATGAGCTACACTTATTGATCTGCTCGTTTCACTGCTCTGCTGACCAATGTCTCGTAGGCCTAAGTCCACAGGACTTCAAAATAACATTACAGATTTTTATCACCTGGCAAAGGGATGAGAGTGAGATGCAGAGACAAGAATAGTGAGCTCTGAGTGTCTGTCTAATCCTACCACAGAACAACAACAGTGAGTGTTTATTTAAATGCCAGCTGTGACATCGAGATAAATAAAAACATTTAATAATATACAGTTGAAGTCAGAATTTTTAGCCCCCATTTGAATGTATTTTTCTTTTTTTTCAATTTTTCCCAAATTAGAGTCCTATTTGGTTTGTTTTGCTAGAATAAAAGCAGTTTTAAATTTTTTAAAAACTATTTAAAGGTCAAAATTATTAGCCCCTTTAACCTTTTTTTTTTTTTTTTTTTTACGATAGTCTACAACACAAACCATCATTATACAATAACTTGCCTAATTACCCTAACCTGCCTAGTAGACCTAATTAACCTAGTTAAGCATTTAAATGTCACTTTAAGCTGTATAGAAGTGTGTTGAAAAATATCTAGTAAAATATTATTTACAGTCATCATGGCAAAGATAAAAAAATCAGTTATTAGAAATGGGTAATAAAACTATTATGTCTCTCTGTTAAACTGAAACAGAGGGAAAAAAGGGGTGAGAGGTAATAATACAGTATTCTGACTTAAACTGTATATCTAATATGCTTCTTTTTGGTCTCAAATCACATTGAAAGTCTTAATTTAGTTGATATTTAGTCAATAATAAAAAGTAATAATAATAACAATAATAATAATAATAATAATAAATATAATACATAATAATAACAAATAATAATAATAATAACATAATAGCAATGAAAAAATATGATAAATATTATAATAAAATAATAATAATAATAAACATAATAAATAATAATATAATAACAAATAATAATAGTTAATTAGTGTTTAAACTAATAATAATACTAATAATAATATTATTAATAATAATAATAGTAATAATTATAAATATAATATAATAATAATAGCAATAATAAAAATATTATAAATAACAATATAAAAATATAATATTAATATTAATAATAATAATAATAATAATAATAATAATAATAATAAAAATAACAATGATAACAATCATAGTAGCATAAATAATAAATATAGTACATAACAATATAATAACAAATAATAATAATAATAATAATAACAAATAATTTTACAAATAAATTCACGTGGGTTTCCTTCGGGTGCTCCGATTTCCCCCACAAGCCCAAAGACATGCGGTATGGTGAATTGGGTATGCTAAAATTTACCGTAGTGTTTGAGTGTGTGTGTGAATGAGTCTGTATGTGTTTCTCAGTGATGGGTTGCAGCTTGAAGGGCATCCGCTGCGTAAAACATATGCTGGATAAGTTAGCGGTTCATTCTGCTGTGGCGACCCCAGATTAATAAAGAAACTAAGCTGAAAAGAAAATTAATGAATCAATGGATAATAATAATAATAATAATAATAATAATTATTATTATTATTATTATTTATGTTATTATTAATTTATATTATGTTATAATTGGTTCCAAATAATAAAATAAAAAATAAAATAATAATGTTAACATACTTTTTTAAATGTAATCAACTCATGAGAAATTTTCATGCAAAAACCTTTCTTTAAGCAAACACAACATGTCTCCTACAGAAACAACAGAAGCACAAGCCGAGCAAGAAAAAAAGCCCATCCCAATTATCATAAATATCCCGCAGGAGAACAAGAAGCAGTAGTGAAACAAAACCACGTCTATATGACCGGTCGCCTCCCTTCATTACATTCACTTTTACAATGTGCGGAAGCTATTTATCTAATTAATACATTTATAAATCACCGGCACAATCCCATTAGGAGAACTTCCCTTTTCTAGGAACCTGTCTCTCCACATTGCACACAGTTTGGAATATAAACAATGAGACAACGGGGATAATAAAACATTAAGCAAGCTCCTATTCCAGTAAATGGGCCACTGGGCATGTGGATACAGCATTAGAGCCAGTGCAGGATCCCAGAAGGGGAGGATAAATCCCAGTGCTCTCTAGCCTACAGGTACTTACTTAATAGGGAGCTGTCTTGTATGAACAATGCCGCCGAGCCGACACGGCAGAGAAGGGAAAAGGTTATGAACCCTTCATTTTAAAGTCCATATTTAATATGCTTCTCCTCATAAGTCTCTGAGTCACAGAACACTAACTAGAAACCTGGGCCTCGCCATTGGGGTCTTAATTTACGATTCATGCCAATTGCAATAGTAAACAAGTGTAGGCCAAAGGTGTACGTGCAATTAACAGAACATACATGGGATTCTCTCTTTCTTTCTTTCTTTCTTTCTTTCTTTCTTTCTTTCTTTCTGTCTGTCTGTCTGTCTGTCTGTCTGTCTGTCCGTCCGTCCGTCCGTCCGTCCGTCCGTCCGTCCGTCCGTCCGTCCGTCCGTCCGTCCGTCCGTCCGTCCGTCCGTCCGTCCATCTATCTATCTATCTATCTATCTATCTATCTATCTATCTATCTATCTATCTATCTATCTATCTATCTATCTATCTATCTATCTATCTATCTATAACCACCATGAGTGATTGAGTGGAGAAGTTGACCTCCACTATTTAAAAGTATTCTTAAAAAATTCTATAATCTTTTATTCTTTGATCTGTCTTAAAGTGACAGTTTATCCAAAACTAAAAAAAATAAATAAATAAAATCTTGTCATTATTTACACACGATTCATTTCTACAAATCTGTTTGTCTCTGTTTGTGTTTATGGAAGTCAATGGTTGCCAGTTTTTAGCTTTCTTCAAAATATCTTCTTATGTGTTATTTAGTGGTATCACTGTGTGAAAGAGACTAAAGGGGTAAAATACAGTATATGAGGGTTCACATGATATAACAAAAGAAAATTACCTCATCATTTATTTGTTGAACCCAAAAGATGACATTTTTAAAAATGCTGCTTGCTGGGACTAAAATAATTATAAGAAGAAAGTCAATACCAGGTACTTTTTTTTTTAAATCTTCTTTTGTCTTTAACAGAGGAAAGAAACTCAAATAAATTTTGAACAAGCAAGTAAATGACGACAGAATTTTCATTTTGGGGTGAACTATCTCTTTAAATCTATGCCCTTATTTTTAGTTTCATAATGTGGCAGGTACAAATGATACAGTAGATCCTATATTGCTTCCTAAATAACAGCCTCTTTTTAATACGCCACACAATTACAAGTATCATTCATGACCAGAAGCAAACAATCAAGCACCACCAACTAAGCCTTTAATCCTGAAGAAATTCAAGTCCAAAAGTCCTTGCAAAAAAAAAAAAAAAAAAGGAAAAATTGAAATCAACAATTACTTCTTGACAATCACACAAAAAATCCGATGTCAGATCCAGATGCCGCTTAGCTGAGTGTTTTTCTGGCATACGTGTCCTTCATCTAAGTCTAGCGAAATTTAACAGCTTTGATCTGGAGTCAAATTGGATCCCAATCATGATGCCATCTGGTAGAGCGGCACACACAGAGGGTCAGGCGCAAGGTCACCCTCTCATCTTTTTAATCTGGATAAAAATATTAGAGGCATCACGAGTGAGGCTTTAATCATTTTGATGCACAGTTAAAGCACAACATCCAGCCTTAAGTTGATTCTCTGCTGGTCAGAGTCCTGCATCATGTCCTTCACTTCAATGAACGTGACGTGTGGCTTTAGCCGTTCAAATATTCATGCCTCTCAGGGCAACTTACCAAAGAAAGAGAGCTTTCCCTGCACGGAGTTTCTTCCTTTGCTGTTTTCTGCCACACACTCGTATGTACCCGCGTCCTCCTGCTGGAAGTAAGGGATTTCCATCACGCCGCTGGTTTTTCTTACATCCACCTTACGAGCGAAAGGGACTCCGTCTACTCGACGCCAGCTTATGGATGGTACAGGACTGAGGTGGAGGAGATATCACAATAGATATTAGACATAATATTAGACACAATAGATATTACAATAGAATGCAATAGTGAAAAATAAATACAGAATACAAAGAAATTATTGTGACTGTATGTCCTGAATCACACTTTTCTCTCACAGTTCTAAGAGAAAAAAGTAACTAGATAAAAATATAAATTTTTTAAAATAGTTTTTAAAGATATATATATATATATATATATATATATATATATATATATATATATATATATATATATATATATATATATATACACACACACAGACTCTAGTGATGTCTGAGACTTATTTTATATCTTGTAAAAAAAGAAAATAATATATATATATATATATATATATATATATATATATATATATATATATATATATATATATATACACACTGTATGTATGTATGTATGTATATATATATATATATGTATTTTTTTTTACAAGATGTAAAATAAGTCTCAGACATCCCCATCGGTTGTGTGTTCTCATTTTCACCCAGCACTATTAGAGACTCATCCAACTTAATAACTTAAACACGTAAAAATAAAGCATATCGCAGATTCTCAACAGATACTTACTTTCCTAATGCAAAACACTCCAGGCGCACAGTTGAACCTTTAGCCACTTGCACAACTTCCGGGAACTGTACTTCAATCTTTGGCTCATATTCTCCCATAATACCTACAAAGAGAAACACTCATTTGTCACTCGCAGGAAGAAATATTGCAATTATATTCAACAAAAGCTATCAATTACTCTATCTGCAACAGCAATTTTCAATCTTTCTCTTTCACTATTGCTGCATAATTTATTTTGCACCTTCAGAAAGGTTTCTGGGATTGCGGGAGCCCTGATATCAGTGTTTTTTTATTTTATTTTATGTGAGGTGTGCTATCAGCCTGGAGACTAAGCTGTCTGAGGGACTCAAAGAGATGCTTATCTGCAATGTCTAACGCTGGACGTTTATGTCCAGCGCTGCCAAATAGGAAGGGTTGAAGAGAGGCAATCATCTCCTTCTGTAGCGCCTCAGGTAGAGGGACATGTACAATGGGCTTTGAAATTGTGCCTGGAGATCACACTGCGAAAGTAGCCTTTGAGTGCCTCATGTTGGTCAAATACAAACATCAGGATTTTAGACAACCTGAGCTACAGCACAATACTGACAAGGCATCGGTTGGATGTCAGCCAGTTGGACGTCATGCACACACAGACTTGAATAGATATCTTTGCGAGTACTTACCTTAGATGTAATGATTTATTTTATTCTGTACAGTCTTTGTATTCTATCCTCAACCCTACCTATTCTGACACTAAAAACATACTGCATTTTTACATTTTAAAAACAATTGATTCAGTGTAAATTTTTAGTAGTCATTAGTCTTCACCCAGCAGGCCCACAATGTGTTGTTAATATTAGGTTAAATTTAGGTTGTGACATCAGGTGACCAAAATCCAACGTCGAGCTAACATCTTGAAATAATGTCATATTGACGTTAAATAATGACATTTATTCGTCAGGTATGGCAACCAAAAATCCAACGTCTCATTGACGTCATAGTAGTAATATTTACATAATGTCAAGCTGTAACATCATTAGACGTTGTTATTTGGTTGATTTTCGGTTGTGTTAGAAGGTGACCAAAATCCAATGTCGAGTCAACATCTTAAACCAGCGTCATATTGACGTCAAATACTGACATTTAATCATCAGGTATGGCAACCAAAATCCATTGTCTGATAGACACCATAGTGGTAATGTTCACACACATCAAGCTGTAGCATTATTAGACGTTGATATTTGGTTGATTTTAGGTTGTGTTGAAAAGTGATCAAAATCCAAGGTCGAGCCAACATCTTAAACCAGCATCATATTGACGCTAAATACTGACATTTAATCACCTGTTATGACAACCAAAATCCAACGTCTGATAAACATTGTAGTGGTAATGTTCACACAACGTCAAGCTATAACATCATTAGACGTTGATATTTGATTGATTTTTGGTTGTGTTAGAAAGTGACTAAAATCCAACATTGAGTCAACAGCTTTAACCAGAATAATATTGACGTCAAATACTGACATTTATTCGTCAGGTATGACAACCAAAATCCAACGTCTAATAGACGTCATAGTGATAACCTCCACACAACATCAAGCTGTAACATCATTAGATGTTAATTTTAAGTTATGTTGGAAAGTGACCAAAATCCAACATTGAGCCTAAATTTTAAACCAGCGTCATATTAATGTCAAATACTGACATTTGTTTGTCAGAAATGGCAACCAAAATCCTTTGTCTGATAGACATCGTGGTGGTAACATTCACACAACGTCAAGCTATAACATCATTAGACGTTGATGTTTAGTTGATTTTAGGTTGTGTTGAAAAGTGATCAAAATCCAACATTGAGTCAACATTGAGTCAACGTCATATTAACAACAAACACTGACATTTATTCATCAGTAATGGCAACCAAAATACAATGTCTGATAGATGTCATAGTGGCAATGTCCTGACAACGTCAAGCTTTTTTCATTGGATGTTGATGTTTGGTTGAGTTTAGGTTGTGTTGGAAAATGATCAAAATCCAACGTCAAGCCAACATCTTAAACCAGCATCATATTGATGTCACATATTGACATTTATTCATCAGGTAGGGCAAACTAAAATGGAATGTCTGATAGACGTCATAGTGGAAATATCCCGACATCATTAGACACTGATATTTAGATGATTTTCAGTTAAACGTTTGACATTTTCTCAGTTTCTGATGTCAACCCAATTTAAATTTTTAAACAATATGCAACGTCCCCACAACAATGGGGTTCATCTTCAATCTGACGTCATGTTGACATCCTTTGCCTGCTGGGCAATGTCACATGATCATTTATAAATCCAAACCACAGAATAAAGTTGCTTTTTTAAAGTGAAAATGTTATTAACGCTGAACTTAAACTTTAATACATGCATTTCTTAAAATATTCAGATATTGTTTTATATTGAGACCAATTAAACATACTTTAATTTCAGTAAACTACTGAAAGTACTGTGTATATAGAACAATTTGATGAAACAAATGGGTTTTTAGATAATTAAATTCAATTTCTTACTCTAATGGGTGTTTCAAAATTAATAAAATAATAAAAAAAAGCATTGGTTTTTCTTTAGAAAATGACAACTGGAAAAAAAAAACAATAATATTTTCAATTGATAAGATTAAAAATCAAGGTGTTTCAGACAAAAGTCTGCAAAACATGGCATCTTATTAATTTAATTTGTTATTAATTATCAAGTGTAATGTTTTTTTTTCTTTAAAACAACCTAGGGAACAAAAGTTTGTTTAAACAACCAGAAAATCAAGCAATAAAGTACCAAGTGGTTTGGAAGAAGTTTATTTCATGCTGTCAGAGAAATTAGATTTTGTTTGTATGTTATGATATTTGACAATTTCTTTTTATCGCCCTTGTACATGAGTGTGATCAAATTGTAAACCCACAGAGAAGCAACAATTAGATCAGTCTAAGACAAATGACCTTTCAGACTGGGGGTCTTTGATAATGCCAGCCTAGAGGCACCAAAACATGCTGCCACAGCATCTTAACATGTGCAGAGAAACAGCTTATTAACCTTTGAATAAACTTTGTATTACATATAAATGAAAATGAATAAATAAACAAAAGACTGCTCAAAAATTCTCCATTTGTACTGTATTTATTAGGTAAAATGTTAGTGAAATGCTAATATTTGTTTTATTCCATTAAGTTCTGACAACATTTCTGCCAACTTTCAAATTAAATTATTGTCATTTATGACATTAAGCATTTTCACTTGCTGAGACTGAAAATCTGTGTTATTCCACCAAATGTTGCTTTCTCAAGGTGAAGAACTGAAGATAAAAAAATAAATATTCATGCATTTGTCAAATTTAAGATTTTAGGCTCTTTGGATTCCCATTAAGCGTTTATTTTTCACTTTATCACTTTGTGTTAGTTGATTTCAATTACACTACATATTTTTAAAAGCTATTTCCTAAAAATGAGTTTTTCTTTTTTTAAAGTTACATAAATCTGTTGTTTTCAACAATGCTTACATTAACCAAACATCCCAGTTTTTTTATATTTATATTCTGAATGTGTTTATAAGGGATATGTTCATCCATAATTTGCCTCATTAAATACATTTATTTCTACAAAAAAGTGTGGGATTATTTCTGTCTGTTTCCATTATGTTCTGAATTATAGAGTGATAGAAAAGAAAAACAACAACAACAACAACAACAACAACAACAACAACAACAACAACAACAACAACAACAACAACAACAACAACAACAAAATAAAGTAAAATAAAATAAAAATAATAAATAAATAAATGAATAAATAAATAAATAAATAAATAAATAAATAAGTAAATAAATAAATATCCACACATCATCCAATGTTGATGTGTGTATTTTGTAATAGAAATGTATGCAAAATAGTGCTTAATTATGACATTTTTGATGAAATTTAGATGAAATTGTATTATGCAATCAATCTACTGGGGAAATATGTTAATATATATTAGTTAATTGTAAAAAGAGATTTTAACACATCTGAAATCACGGCAACTTTGTTTTGGTATTTTGACCAAGTGTCATTTTATGCTCTAAATGACATCATTTTCATTTGAAATTTGTAATAAAAGTTGTGAGTAGTTTTAAGAACAAAACAAAAGTGAAATTTTACATAAAACAAATAACTATAAATCATAAATACAGAAAAACTGTGAATTTCCAAGTGATCTGGTAATTATTTCCACAGCTGTATTTAATCTATCTTAAAAAATCATAATTATTATTTTGACCAATTGTCATTTTGTACTCTACATCTGTATTTCATCCCTCTTTTAGCTTCAGAATTCTATTATGCACATTTGACTGAATTTATGAACACAAATTTCTATAGTTTTGTGAACTCATCTAAAGGTAGGACTATTTATGCTTTGTAAAGGAAGTGCAAAAATGTTGTATGTATTTTTTTTCGTATCTCGTAAGTCTGAAAAATTTGTCACGCACACAAACCTTACATGCTGAGTCTGATGTGTGTTAAATAATGTTTCGAATGAATTTGCAAAACAATACAAAATTGAGACTTTAAGTAGTGAAGATTATTTTCTGGTTGGATTTTGCCTTTTGCTTGTTCGGCGGCCCTAAAGTAAAAAAAAAAAAAAAGGCACTCACAATAGAGAAAAAAAAAAAAAAAAAAATTAAAAAAAAAAATATATATATAAATATATATATATATATATATATGAAAATCAAACCTGATTCAAATTTTATATGATGGACGAAAGTTTGGAAGACATTGTGTCAATTTATTTATGTGTGAAAATTACAGACAAACATTTTGGATTTAGTTTGCAATAACCTTAAATCTTAAGAAATGAAAATTAAAGGTACAAAAATTAAACTGTCTTATCTAAAAATACAATTATATTAAATACAACTGCTGAATGGCAGGAGTGCCAAAATGTATTTTTTATACATACAACAAATTTGATAAAACAACAATATGCTAAAACATTTTGGTGTTATCCTACAATGCTTAGTTCAAAAAGTTTGATCTAACTATTTGCAATTGCTTAATAAATGATTCCATATATGCAGTTATTATAACATGCTACCTTAGTAGTGAACAGTAATCATGCTTACCATCTGTGCGCAGTATGAGTGGAGTTGGTGGCCCTTGTACTTGTGTTTTGGTGACGGTATTAGTCACGACACAGGTGTAGTTTCCCACATCCGACGGCTCAACTTTAGCTATATACAGATTCCCTGTCTCCTGAGACACAAAGCGACGAGAGTCCTGCTTCACGATTGATGGGTACTCGTTAAAAATCCAGGAAAACGTCAAAGCTGTAAAAGGAAGAAAAAAGAGAAAAGACCATCAACGTCACACATGAGAAGAAAGAGGTCAATCTACTGCCCCGAAACTACATTTGCATAATAATAACTAAAGTACACGGTGATGTTTCTTTCTCCGCAGATGCACCAGCTGGAATTATGTATTATGATGTATATATATATATATATATATATATATATAGTTGAAGGTAGAATTATTAGCCCCCTGTTTGTTGTTTAACGGAGAGCAGATTTTTGTCAACACATTTCTAAACATAATTATTTTAATAACTCACTTCTAATAACTGATTTATTTTAGGCAGGTTAGAGTAATAAGGCAAGCGATGTTTTAACGATGTTATTTAACAATGTTTTTTTCTGTAAACAAATTTGCCTAAAGGGGCTAATAATTTTATCCTCAAAATGGTGTTTGAAAGATTAATAACTGCTTTTATTCTAGCCTAAATAAAACAAATAAAACTTTCTCCAGAAGAAAAAACATTATCAGACATACTGTGAAAGTTTCCTTGCCCTTTTAAACACAATCTAAGAAATATTTAACAAAGAAAAAACAATTCAATGGGGGGCTAATAGCTCTGACTTCAACTGTATATATATATAATATCTAATATCCGATGGCCATCCGATGGCCAGACAGTGAATATTTTTTATAAATTGGTAAAATTTTGTTATTTGTAATGTCGCACATCCAGAGACTGATGTGTACACCATGATTTAATGTGTGATATGAGTGAAAGTGACATGGCCATGAACAAATATTTTCATTTAGTAGCGTCTTGGACCCAGAAAAAACATTTTAAGCGTCACTGATACATCACGATTTAATAAGCGGATAATCACGCTGCAGCTGCAAATATGTTCAGCCCCTTTATAAAGCTTTTCAATTGCTTTTCATTTAATTCACTTGAATTCTCAATGGCAGAACTGTGATAAAAACAAAACACTATTGGTTGTTTTATAAAAAGGGGAGGGGCTACTACAGCATATGTCCAGCCCTTTCTACATGTTTCAGTTAAGATTAAATTAAACGGCGAATAAAACGAATTTACATTTCAAAGCTCTTCACAGAACACAAATGTGATAACGTTAGAAGTTTTCATTTTCTACCCATTTCAAAAAACAAATCTTTCAACATGCCACTTCACACTACATTAGACAAATAAACAGGCAAATATTGTAAATCAGTCTCAGCTCAGAAGAGTTAGTAGTCCTGCTTTACAAATAAAAAAATCCAGGAAAAAGTCAAAGCAAAGAAGGAAAAAATGAAGAGAAAAGACTATCAACATCACACATGAGAAGAAAGAGGTCAGTCTACTGCCCGGAAACTACATTTGCATAAACATAACTAGAGTACACGGTGACATTTCTTCTCTCCGCCGAGCCTAAATGGCATATGTGGGCTCCGCTCATGAATCTTGCACCTCCCCAGAGTTTCTAAATTAGCACTGGGGCTACATGCTAGGGTGAAAATTAATCAGCCTGAGGAGGGTTGTGTGGCTTAGAGGGTGAGAATTAATGACACGACGGATAACCAGTGCCCTGTGACTAGTTGGCCTCAAGTCAAGGGGGAAAGTGGTGGTGTGTAACCAATGCTCAAATATCCACGGCGCTAATCGCTTAAATGTTAGTTAGTTAACGGGTAATCGGCCAAGGCAAGTATAATAAGATAATCACATAGAACTTTACATAAGCAGTTTTTTTTGCGGCAAAGGTGTAGTTTGGAGAATTTTATTTAAAAACTGCCTGTCAAGAAAAGTCCTTGCCCCCCTCTGAAATAAGAAGCCCATTTGTCACACAACCAGCGATCACTTTCCAGAGATCGCTGGTTCTCACATGAACACCAGGACTACACTTCCGCATTTCCCAGGACTACATTTTCATACATGCACTGCTCCCAGACACCCATGCTCATTCATCTGCTTGATTGCACTCACCCGCTGAACCCTGTCAGAGACTGATAACATACTATACATAAACCACTCATTCACTCACCCTGGTTGCCGAGTCTTGTTTACCCGAGTGTGACATAACAACGCGTTTCCTTGTCTTGTTTCTCTGTGTTAGACCTTAGCCTTGTATCCTTGTTATTCTGTTTAGCCGCCTGCCTTTTGACCTGTTGCCTGTTTATATCGACTACGATTCTGGACTGCCTTAATATACCCGATTATACTTGATTTGACCATTGCTTGCCTTGCGCTGAATAAACCTGCATATTGGATCTTACCTCCTGTTGAATCTGTCACTCCACCCCAGTCGTTAAACCATTATAATATCACTGGCATTCATTTTTATGACAATTCCATCATCAAATTGCTAATAATCAACAATAATGTATATTTATTACAAATATGTTGGTCACACTTTACAATAAGGTTCATTAGTTAATGTTAAGTAATGCATTTACTAACATGAACAAACATTGAACAATACATTTACTACAGTATTTATTCATGTTAATAAACATTAGTTAACGAGAATAAAGTTGTTTGTTGTTAGTTCATGTTAAATCATGGTGCATTAACTAATTTTAACAAGCATGGACTTTGGATGTTAATAATGCATTATTAAATGTTCAATTATGATTAATAAATGCTGTATGAGTGTTGTCCATGATTAGTTCATGTTAGTAAATGCATTAACTAATGAACCTTATTGTAAAGTGTTACTTATATGTTTTATTAGTACACTCTCTGGCCACTTTATTATGTACACCTTTACTGGTGTTATGTATACTGTACTGGATTGGACCCACTTTTGCCTTAATTCTTCATGATTCAACAAAGCACTGGAAATATTCTTCAGATATTTTGGTCCATACTGACATGATAGCATCACACAGTTGTTGCAGGTTTGTCGGCTGCACATCCATTGTCGGCTGCACATCCACGAATCTCCCATTCCACCACATCCCTAAGGTGCTCTATTGAATTGAGATCTGGTGACTGTGGAGGCCATCTGAGTACAGTGAACTATTGTCAAGTTCAAGAAACCAGTCAGAGATGATTTATGCTTTATGACAATGCTTCTATCCTGCTGGAAGCAGCCATCAGAAGATGGGTACACTGTGGGGATGGGCATGGTCAGCAACAATATTCAGGTAGGTTGTGGCGTTGACACAATGCTCAATAGGTACTAGTGACCCAAAGTGTGCCACGAAAATATCCCCCACACCATTACACTACCACCACCAGCCTAAACTGTTAATACAATGCAGGACGGATCCATGATTTCAAGTTGTTGCCGCCAAATTCTAACCTTACCATCCGTTTTTCCAATCGTTCTATTTTGGTTAGCCTGAATGAATTATAGCTTCATTTTTCTGTTCTGGCAGACAGGAGTAGCATCCGGTGTGGGCTTCTGCTGCTGTAACAAGGCATTTGCACCCACAGATCTGCCACTCACTGGAAATTTTCTCTTTTTCAGACCATTCTCTGTAAACCCTAGAGAGTTGTTTGTGAAAATCCCAGTAGTTCAGCAGTTTCTGAAATACTCAGACTAGCCCGTCTGGCACCAACAACCATGCCGCATTCAAAGTCAGTTAAATCACCTTTCTTCCCCGTTGTATTGCTCGGTTTGAACAACAGCAGATCGTCTTGACCATGTCTACATGCCTAAATGCACTGAGTTGCTGCCATGTGATTGGCTGATAAGAAATTTGCGTTTACAAGCAGTTGGACTGGTGTACCTAATAAAGTGGCCTCTGAGTGTACAGTGTATAATAAATTGTTAAAAGTCAGTTGTCAAGTATATTTAAATCCAACTACTACAAAAACCTTGATAAAGGACAACTTTATATTTTCAATAATTAATAATTATAATTATTCTCATTTTAATGAAATGTGCGTATAAGTCAAGGTAACTTCAAAATAATTAAGGTTATTATAAATATTCCCTTTTCAGAAAGGACCATAAAATCCAGCTGCATTTAAATGTCAACCTTGGTATGAAAAATAATGATTTGATCAATAGAGAACCAACTTTTATCATTTTGATTAGGGTTGTGCTGTTTGATAATCTGTTCTTTATAATCAGCCTTGAGTTACTTTCATACATTTTTAACCTCTCTCAAAATGTTTCAATTATTAACTATTAATATTAATTATTTCAAATTATTTTCCTCATTTTAAATATAAAACACGTTTACAGATTTTTTTTTCATCTCTTAACACAGATTAGTTGTTATGAAAAATATAAACAGATGTTCCAATATACTGTTAACCTATTCACAAGTTTTGTTCTGCAAATGTCACATTCGCAATGCAAAAACTTATTATTTTCATTATGATAATACATGTTTGTTCTTCTTCCAGAAAATAAGTTGAAGTGGAAGATGTGCTTAATTGTCATAAAAGTAACATTATAAGTTTTAATTTTCTTAGTGAAGTTTCTTTGCATTTCCAGTTACGAAGCTTTCAACGCACTGCTTCACACTACATTAGACAAATAAACAGACAAATAAATCAGTCTCAGCTCAGAAGAGTTAGCAGTTAATCTAGGTCAGCTGTAATTAATTTAGAATAATTAAAAGAACTTTACTTTCAGAAAATATGATTTTCTTCAAGTTTTTTATTAAAGCAATTTAGAGTGGAATATAGGCTTAATTGAATAGAAAGTCGAGTTATAAACCAACTGTGTTTCATTATCTTGAGGCAAAATGTACCTTTGTGTTTTTTTTTATTTTTACTTGAATTTGAAAGTAGTTAGCTCTTTTATATATTATATATTTTCATTCTACATCACACATATAAACATATAGTATGAACTAGAGCTGTGCTGGTGGCTTTGAAGATGTAATTTTTTTTTTTTTTTGTCGACTGCTCCTCTCCACAAAATGCCTGCATATGCTTAATGTCACATATGTCAGTGCTCGCTTCCTCTACCAGCCCAGTAAAACAGTTTAACTTTACCTCCTCAAATTACGATTGTTTTGCCTTTTGCTGATTCAATTACGCCCAATACCTGTCAGAGTCCCTCTATCACGTATGAGACTTGA